GAAGCATGAGATGTCAGGAAACGTGCCCAACCATTTATGTGTCGCCCGAGATTCGACCCCGCGATCCCAGATTGTAAGTCGAGAATGTAAGTTTTGGGGTCATCAATGTGTTGATGACCCAAAACGTTCTCAGTCAATGTTTTGATAATCTCCAAAACGTTCTCAGCTAAGCCCCGAAATCATCTCAAGATAACCTCATGAAGATGATAATAACCAAAGATATATTTAAAATCCGTGTGGGTTAATCCCCAAAGAATTACCAAACACTTTCTTCCACAAACAAGTATTTAAATTTCCGCCTTAAACAAGAAGTCACAGTATTTAAAAACTTACCTCTGTAATCCAGCGATAATCTTCTCGGCTTCCTTTCCTTGCAAATATCTCAAGCCTCAGAGAATTCACAAAAATTGGGCTGGATTAAATGTTCGGAGGAAGTTTCAGACTATGAAAAGTTTCTAGTGATGCAAAATGGCCTAATTCAACTGCGTGCAAAAATGGCAAATGTCGGTCAGGACGTAACCCAACTCCGCCATATTGCCGGAAGCGAAGGAATATTAGGAGTCCTGAAGGTGATATTATAGTTTTATCGCGTCGTAATATGCTGTGGAATGGTATTTATGGTCTATTACGATCTGCCAAAAAGCTTCCGTAGTGGGGGGGGGTGAATATAGCCCGTGAGTGTGATGAAAGTTCCTTCAGTAAACAGCTAAGTGGTATTATTTCATGACTAATTCATTAAAATTCCAACGCTTTTGTTTGTTACGTCATTAATAACAAAAGTGCAACTATACTCTTTTAAAAAAGAAGCTCCAAACCGTCCTGACACGTCGAAATCTGCAATACAAACTTTTATTTACTTCTCTGTAAGTTTAAAATATAAATATTTTAAAACAAGGGCGGACTCCAAGAGCGACGTTCCCCTCGAACACTTGCCCAACTTTCTACCGTTTTAAGACAAACAAAAATATTTTTGGGGGAACGGGAAAAAGATCCTCATCTGAGGAGAGAAGATCATGCAAGGAAGAGAAGGAAGAGGAAGTAGAGAGAGAGAGAAGAGAAAGCTGAGAAGGAAAAGGAAGCGGAGAAAAGAGAGGAAGAGGTAAGGTTAAATATAAGACAGCGCTAAGTCAGCATAACTGTTTTGCACTTTGAAGAGATACGAGGACAAGGAGCCAGGGGTGGGACGGAGGGAAGGAAGAGTACCCAACTACTTGCACCATCGGGGGTCGAACTCCGACATGGAGAAGAGGAATGAGCTTGGATTACTGCACTAAGGCAGAAGATACCCTTAGTATCCTAATATCCAGAGGACACTACATGTATCGTATTCATACTTTATTCATTAGTTATACATTACTTCATGTAGTATTTTCTGTAAGTACAAGCATCGTAGGGGGTGCTAATCGTTGCCTGGTGTGAGAGAGAGAGAGCAATCCGTCCTATTAGTTAACAGATCACGTTTTGTACCTTATGGTACGTTACAAATGCAACCTACTATGAATAGTAACTGCTCACAAATGCCTGAATTTTCTGCGCATCAAACTCGAGAGATCAGGTGGATTTTTGGGGATTCATATGTTTCTAGTTAAGAAGGTTAGATTTTTGACGGAGTGGCGAATCGCGAAAGAGAACGAGCTTAGCTGTGGCTCAAGCCTCCCACCTTCATCCCAGCTCCTATCCCCTCAACATACTTAGACACAGATCATCCCAAAGGGAGAAAGAACTACGAAGCGAGAGAGAGAGAGAGAGAGAGAGAGAGAGAGAGAGAGAGAGAGAGAGAGAGAGAGAGAGAGAGAGAGAGAGAGAGAGAGAGAGAGAGAGAGAGAGAGAGAGAGAGAGAGAGAGAGAGAGAGAGAGAGAGAGAGAGAGAGAGAGAGAGAGAGAGAGAGAGAGAGAGAGAGAGAGAGAGAGAGAGAGAGAGAGAGAGAGAGAGAGAGAGAGAGAGAGAGAGAGAGAGAGAGAGAGAGAGAGAGAGAGAGAGAGAGAGAGCCGGAATAAAATACATGCAAACAGCCAGAGAACCAGAAAATAAACAAAAGTTCATGGTATTACCCAGACAGCACAAGACCATAGGGTAAATATCGACAACAGCTGCCAGAGACACTCGGCAGTTGCTTCTTTACTCGGCCACACAAAATCTATCTGGACAGATAAGATTGTGGTAATAAAGGGGAAAATATTACTGTTATATATATATATATATATATATATATATATATATATATATATATATATATATATATATATATATATATATATATATATATATATATATATATATATATATATATCTTCCTCAATCAGAGTAATGGAGGAATGTAAACAAAGAGGAAAGATGAGAAGGTAAAAGGAGACACACACACTGAGAGATGAAAGTGAACGATACATTAAGAAAGATAGAATAAAAAAAAATGACATTTGATGGTAAATGAGCCAACGAGGCTGCGAGTGTCACGAATCGCCTCCTTTACCTGCCAATCAGGTAATGGAGGTCGTCTCTACACCCCGCCCCCCCCCCCCCCGAGGGCAAAATAGACCCCTCAGAAAGGTCTATAGAATTGAAAAATATAAATCATACACTGGAAAGAGCAGAAAGTTGACTCCTTTTTTTTTTTGTAACTGAGAAAGAATGAGAAATGATGCTAACGATGGAGTAGGGTAAAGAGAGAAGGGTGGGGGTGTGGGATGGGGGTGGAGGGCAATTTGTAGCGGGGCAGTGGTTGTGGTGGTGTGAGCAGGTTAGCATAGTTAGGTTGAGTTAGGTAGTGTGAGCAGTCAGCACAGTAACAGTAGCGAGAACAGGTCAGCACAGCAGTAGTGGCGGGGAAGGATATGATCACCATAGGAACAGTGACGCTTACCTGACAGTGACTAATACCCCTATTTTGGACTTAAGCTTTTTTGCAAGTCTGGTGAGAACTGAGCTTTGTGTCGGATGTGGCGTCCACTATTTTATCTTTCAGTGAATTTCACTTAATGACCACCAATACAAGGAACAAGAATATTATTCCCGTTTTTGTAAAAACTACTTTGCATTTCCAGCTTCCATCCAGGTGATATGTCGATAATTAGATGAATTATAAGTTAAATCATGATAACAGATAATGCATTTAAATTAGAAGTGAAATGCTTGTCAATAATTACAATAGTTCTACCGAAGGCTGGCCAGGTCTAACAAGCCAGGGAAAGCAAATCTCTCCCAATGAAGGATAAATAGAGCAGACAGACGCCCAAATGACTGGAACCCAATTGAAGCATAAAAATCCGGCAGTCGAGACGTTTAATGTGAAATGGTAATGTTTGCGTTTATCCTGATGAGTCTTCACGGTATTTACTGAGTAAATACCTCGTGTGCTGAGTGGCAGGCCTGCGATGACGATTTTTATTTTTTGTTTTACAAATGTGGGTACAGGAGTAGACGCCTTCAGACCCCTCTTGTCGTAGGTCATGGTAAACCTTACCTTATTAGTGTTTCTTTGAAACTCGACTCTCTCTCTGTCTCTCTCTGTCTCTCTCTATCTCCATCTCTATCTCTATCTCTATCTCTATCTCTCTCTATCTCTATCTCTGTGTCTCTGTCTCTGTCTCTGTCTCTGTCTCTCTCTCTCTCTCTCTCTCTCTCTCTGTCTCTGTCTCTGTCTCTCTCTCTCTCTCTCTTTTACCAGGATTGCCCGTTAGGTCAAAGGGGGACGTGACTGCTGAGTTTACAGCGGTTTGGATTCGTAGTCCTGGGTTCGATCTCCGGTTGAGGTGGAAACAAATGGACAGAGTTTCGTTCACTCTGATGTTCCTGTTCACCTAGCACTAAATTCGTACCTGGGAGTTTGACAGCTGCTACGGGCTGCTTCCCGGGGCGGGGGGGTTAACAAAAGGAGGCCTGGTCGAGGACCGGGCCACGGGGACGCTAAGGCCCGAAATCATCTCCAAGACAAACTCAAGAGAGTTAAATTGAGTACTATTTCTTACACATATTGCTGTTATATTTTCGGTATCATCGTTATCTAATGCTTATATAACTAAACCATTAGCATAACAGCAAAATTTGCCTTAATCTTGCCTGTGCAACAGCTATTGCACTTCTGGCTATGAACTCTTTCAACAATAAATCACGATAGACATCAAATAATGAAGGACTAAAAATAGCTTCTTGTTTGGTTCATTTTTTAGTGAGATTTTTTTTAGAGGAAGTAGTACTCCATATCACAGCTACTTATACATACTAGATTACAGCCATAAGTATTAAGCATTACAGAACATGCTTTTCTGCTTAGCTATTCTTTAAAAAAGAAATGTAGTGTGTTAAACGTTGTCAAGACATCAAGAGAAGAGAGAGAGAGAGGCAACAGAGCTGCTTTTTGTGTTGAATTATTAACTATTTTCCTCACTATGAAACTGCCAGGTCGTGGAGTATTCAGTTTCCTTAGTAAACAGGTTCCTGCGACGGCGCTGGAACCAATCGTATTGGCGTTTACCTTTCATTGGAGACTTTCGGCGCCGTGGAGAGAAGGGGACCTGTTGCATGGGTAACAGCTTCTCCCCCCCCCCCCCCCGTATCAACCTACACTGGCTTTGCGCCCTGGAGAGGCCATTCCAGACTGACAGCCAGAGTAACTAGATAGTCTCCTGAAACTGATGGATACCTACTACTAAGTAAACTTAAACTTTGCATGCATAGCCTTTTCTCTGAGTCTATGAGGTCCTGTTAATGGTTAGTGCTCGTCGGTTTACGTCTAGTCTCCATGTGTCACTACACTTTCCACACTTTCTTTTAGTTTACATTATCTGTGTATAGCTTTGTGTTAATCCCGTACGGGGCATAATATACATGTTAATTGTACCATCCTTTCTTTGAGATCATGTCTAACAAAATATTTCGAGTAAATCTATAAATTTTTAAATCACAAGATAGATATTTTTCTTAGGAGACTTAGAAGTGGTTTTATGAATACCGGGGGGGGGGAAGGGTGGGAGGGGGGGTATCGGTAAAGAAGCAAGTAACATACACTTTCAAATTGAATTTTTTTTATTCAAAAATATAGATATTGTATAGTTTATATATCTTAGTTTTATGCAGACATATATTAAAACTCAGATTCAAATACAACCATAAATATGTGTACACATATGTTCATTCGCCATGGCGCTGTGAAGACGTACTTTGTTCACCCGTGTGTTCATTGACAATGTTCTTCCTCTACGATGCCTCTGTAATTACCCTCGACAAGTTTTAAGTGTTCTTTTCTCTCTTGTCAGGTAAGGTCTCCTTCTTTCTTTCTTTTGTCAGGTAAGGTGTTCTATTTCTTCAAGGTGAGGCCTCTGGTCCTTCCTTGAAAGGTCATGTGGGAGGTTGTTCAAGTTTACATATATATATGCAAATGGGGGAAATAATACATATATATATGTATTCCCCCACAGCAAATGACAGCACAGTTTTATAATGATAAATTTGACTTTCCCTCAGTCTTAAAATCCACACCACAATGACAAAAATATATCTTACAATTTTCACTGAGGCATAAATTTGAATTTTGTACAATAACTATGCATCCTAAACTAGTGGACTCTGACCAAGAACACCGAGCATATTCCCGGAGTTGTAACGTGGCACTTTCATTCTCTCTCAGCAACGTCTCATCTTATTCTTGTCACATTGTTCTTGACGTATTTTAGAACAACCCCCAGAACCTGTTATGTTTCTGTAATATCTTTACAGAATACCTCCTCTTCGTTATAAATACAAAATATCTTACATAGTCTTACAAACATACAACTTGTCTACCTTGCAAGTCCAAGGAAGAGGAGAGTCAGTATCTCAGCCCTCTTGTTTCATGTGTGGCTGGCATTTCACGGTCTTCCGGAGTTGGTGGCTTACGGAAACTCGTGGCTATTGGAAACTCGTAGCCTTTGGAAACTCGTAGCCTTTGGGAGTTCGTAGTCTTTGCTAGTTCGTTATCTTTGGGAGTTCGTGATCTTTGGGAGTTCGTGGTCTTTGGGAGTTCGAGGCCTTTGGGAGTTCGAGGCCTTTGGGAGTTCGAAGCCTTTGGGAGTTCGAGGCCTTTTGGAGTTCGAGGCCTTTGGGAGTTCGAAGCCTTTGGGAGTTCGAGGCCTTTGGGAGTTCGAGGCCTTTGGGAGCTCGAGAGAGCATCGCTCGGCAAATAGTGAAGGACTTTAGTGGTCAACGACGCCTCGTCGTTACGTTTGCTTTTCTGTGGCACGTTGGGTTGCTGTGGGTGGTGGAGGAGTGTCATTGGCGGGGTCGTGGGTGTCGCAGGTGACACTACACTTACACCTTAGGATCCACTCCACCTGGTAGTGGACAATCTCATAGTTGTCGCTCTTAATGTCGTCATACTCTGTGTCGTCCTCCACCGTCAGGTTCTCGTGTTCAAGTAGAGGCTCGTCGTTTAGGTCCTCTTCGTTGTCCTGGGGGTTGTCGCCGGTGTTTAGGTCGTCGTAGATGAAGTTAAAGTCGTGAGAGCCTCTGTGAGGGCGGCGTGAGCGCTGTGGGGAGGTGAGAACAGCCTCCTCTACCGGTTGACCTTCATCCATCATGTCGTACACGCTGGGAGAGGGCGTGGAGGGCTGGTGGGCGTGAGGGCGTGCACCGGCGAGGGCGGCGTGGGGGGCGGGGAGCAGGTTGGTGTTGGCGTGGAGGGGACACAGGAAGGCGATGGAGATGGTAGTTGAGGTGTGGACGGTACAACAGCGGTCAGGACAGGCACCGCACGTCTTGGGTCTGTAGCGACGCTCGCTGACGCACCAACCTGCGCGTAGACGTACCGCCTTGACGTTCCTCTGCGTCGCCTTGCACGTGTGCCCGCGCTGCAAGTACACAGGATGGTCAGTCTACACTAGACAGTACACAGGATGGTCAGCCTACACTAGACAGTACACAGGATGGTCAGCCTACACTAGACAGTACACAGGATGGTCAGCCTACACTAGACAGTACACAGGATGGTCAGCCTACACTAGACAGTACACAGGATGGTCAGCCTACACTAGACAGTACACAGGATGGTCAGTCTACACTAGACAGTACACAGGATGGTCAGCCTACACTAGATAGTACACAGGATGGTCAGTCTACACTAGACAGTACACAGGATGGTCAGCCTACACTAGACAGTACACAGGATGGTCAGTCTACACTAGACAGTACACAGGATGGTCAGCCTACACTAGACACTACACAGGATGGTCAGCCTTTCACTAGACAGTACACAGGATGGTCAGCCTACACTAGACAGTACACAGGATGGTCAGCCTACACTAGACAGTACACAGGATGGTCAGCCTACACTAGACAGTACACAGGATGGTCAGCCTACACTAGACAGTACACAGGATGGTCAGCCTACACTAGACAGTACACAGGATGGTCAGCCTACACTAGACAGTACACAGGATGGTCAGCCTACACTAGACAGTACACAGGATGGTCAGCCTACACTAGACAGTACACAGGATGGTCAGCCTACACTAGACACTACACAGGATGGTCAGCCTACACTAGACAGTACACAGGATGGCCAGCCTACACTAGACAGTACACAGGATGGTCAGCCTACACTAGACAGTACACAGGATGGTCAGCCTACACTAGACAGTACACAGGATGGTCAGCCTACACTAGACAGTACACAGGATGGTCAGCCTACACTAGACAGTACACAGGATGGTCAGCCTACACTAGACAGTACACAGGATGGCCAGCCTACACTAGACAGTACACAGGATGGTCAGCCTACACTAGACAGTACACAGGATGGTCAGCCTACACTAGACAATACACAGTAATATAACATTAATATAAGTCATTATGATTATAATAATTCTAACATGAATAATTATGTGAATAATAATAGCGATGATATTAAAAAATAATAACGTATAATTTTGCTAATTATTCATAAACAGATAAAGTTGGAGATATTAAGCATTCTAAAAACTCTGAAATGCGGGTGGTGATGAGAATTGAGAGAGTTGGTTACGATTGAGGAACCTGTGCTCCCAAGTCTTGCTCCTAAGTCTTGCTCCTAAGTCTTGTTCGTAAGTCTTGCTCCTAAGTCTAGGGATTTAGGAGCCAAGACAGCAACCAGTACGAAGAGGTGGACAGTCTAAAAGAAATGCCAAAGTGGAAGGCAAGGAACTGAACATAAGAAACTGCATTGGGAACAAAACGTAAGTGAATATCGATATGCTCTGTTTCTATATCCTGTGTATCGATATAAACCATATAACCTCACGTCTTATCTCCTCTCTGATATAACCTCACGTCTTAACTCCTCTCTCATATAACCTCACGTCTTATCTCCTCTCTCATATAACCTCACGTCTTAACTCCTCTCTCATATAACCTCACGTCTTAACTCCTCTTCCAAGGTTCGTCATCAAAATTTTCGTAAAATATTACCTATTTATGTCAGTAAATGTTACTTTGTAAAAGGGAATTGGGAATATTTTCATGTAGTGACTAACATCTGGTACAATATTACATCAGGGGTCGACCAGATTCCTTGGTTGGATATTACATTTTTTGGTTCACAAAACTCGGGAAATATTCAAGTAGTTTAAAAATAAAATTGCAGTCAAGCATTATTGGATTTTTTTATTCCTGCCTAAATAAAAGCCGGAACCTTTTGTAAAGAAAATTGTTTATATAAACGCTGAATGTATAATAACCGTGAATATTGACCCACGGTGAGTAGTGACCCACCGTGAGTAGTGATCCACGGTGAGTAATGACCCACGGTGAGTAGTGACCCACGGTGAGTAGTGACCCACGGTGAGTAGTGATCCACGGTGAGTAATGACCCGCCATGTGTAATGACCCACGGTGAGTAATGACCCACCGTGTGTAGTGACCCACGATGAGTAGTGACCCACGATGAGTAATGACCCACCATGTGTAATGACCCACGGTGAGTAATGACCCACCGTGAGTAGTGACCCACCTTGAGTAATGCCCCGCCGTGAGTAGTGACCCCACTGTGAGTAATGACCCACCGTGAGTAGTGATCCACCGTGAGTAATGACCCGCCGTGAGTAGTGACCCCACTGTGAGTAGAGACTCACCATAAACAATTGCTCCACCATTATGAAACATAATATTTCCTTACATAAGAACCGAGCTTCTACTTTTAGGCAAACTGGACTACACACTTTTACCGGAATAAAGATATCATGACTATTCCCTGGAGTCACATAATAGAGCCCCAGGACCCCTCTATTAGAGCCCCAGGGGGAGCTCTAGCTCCCACTTGCTGCTACGATTCTCCCACTGCGTTATAGTCAGTCATTATGTTAATCTAAGATACTCATTCCCTATTTCACATTCATCTTCCTGCCACGCGCGAGGGACTCGGAGATCTTTAGGTCGGGAAATGCTCCTCACAAATTCTTTTTCCAGCCTTTGTTATCAGCAGTTTCTTTGTGTAATCTTACGCTCGTCCGAGCGCCAAGGAAGGTGCTCCTCTGAAGCTCTGGACTTGTGCCCCTCTACTCAACATGCCACGGGAAATGGGTATACAGAAGACTATGGTTCTGCAGACCACACAATAACGTGGCTGAAGATATCATGACCAAACCACACATCAGAAGATGGAGAAACGACGACGTTTCGGTCCGTCCTGGACCATTATCAAATCGTATGTGATAATACGACTTGATAATGGTCTAGGACGGACCGAAACATCGTTGTTACTCCTACTTCTGATGTGTGGTTTGGTTTTAATATGGTTCTGCACCCGTCGTCATTCTGTCTACCAGATATGGCTGAGTAGTTTCAAACAGAATTCTTATATAAATGCATGCAAACAAACAGGTGGGCACGCACAGAGGCACGAAGGAATCACCGGACACGCACATATTAGCATAATTAAACACGCACAAATCATCAAACTAAAATAACGTACATTGTGAATAATGTAAAATAGTGTCTTAGACATTTTTCGAGAACTGTACTTGAATCAACACACCGCTCCCTCCCTTACGTTAATTCCAGCACAATTCCAACTCAGTGTTGCCTTACAACCAACTGCCTCAAAGGACTGGCGTTAACAACTTCATTCGAAACTAACACTATCTATCTATCTATTCTGATTTATAAACATATATATGAGTTTCATTCACCTGATATACGTAGTAAAACTCCTCCGTTCACTGGCGAGTGGTGAGTACCGTAGTCCGGCTTGTCCGTTATCTAGGTCGTTTGTTCGCCTAACTAGCTAATGGCTAGTTCAGGTCAGCCGGGATGTCAACGCAAGGAATACCCCAGTGTTGGGTTGGCCTTCGTGTGCGACGGGTGTGTGTGTGTGTGTTGTCCAGGATATTTGTGCGAGTTTTGCGTGATATTTGCTTTTGCGTGACAAGTGTTTTTATTGAGTTTGAATATGTTTTGTGCGCCGTGAACACGCTGCCCTCCGAGTGACTTTATACCGTGTACACGCTGCCCTCCGAGTGACTTTATACCGTGTACACGCTGCCCTCCGAGTGACTTTATACCGTGTACACGCTGCCCTCCGAGTGACTTTATACCGTGTACACGCTGCCCTCCGAGTGACTTTATACCGTGTACACGCTGCCCTCCGAGTGACTTTATACCGTGTACGCTGCCCTCCGAGTGACTTTATACCGTGTAAATGTTGCATTTTATAAGAACAACTCTGGAGTTGTCAGTGACGCGATGCAAGATTTAACCCAGAAAGTTAAAGGGAATAACTTAATTTGACGACACGCCCATCTGACCCACGACACGCCCACGTGGCCCACGACACGCCCACGTGGCCCACGACACGCCCACGTGGCCCACGTGGCCCTCGACACGCCCACGTGGCCCACGACACGCCCACGTGGCCCACGACACGCCCACGTGGCCCACGACACGCCCACGTGGCCCACGACACGCCCACGTGGCCCACGACACGCCCACGTGGCCCACGACACGCCCACGTGGCCCACGACACGCCCACGTGGCCCCAGACACGCCCACCTGGCCACGACAATCGTGAGTAACGATAGCCACACCTCGGAGCGTCAACTGTAAGTACAAACCTCTTTAGTTCTTCTTTTCTTTTGAAGTCACCGGATTAGCCGCGTCCAACAGCCTGGTTGACCAGACCATCAACCAGGAGGCCTGGTCAGAGACCGGGCCGCGGGGACCTTGACCCCCGGAATCAACTCAAGGTAACCGCATGGTCCTTCGAGTTCTATCTCATCCGGTATGAGGTCCACCTCATCCGGTATGAGGTCCACCTCATCCGGTATGAGGTCCACCTCATTTAGTATAAGAGTCATTCTGCCCTAACCCTTTTGTTTTGACCTGATGTATCGTACCATCGTTAGTTGGTAGATTACATACGGTCACGAAGTGTTTGAATGTAATTGATCTTCCTTGGATGGCCAGACTCCGCTCCTTGCTGGAATATTCCCGAAGATGGAGGCAAGATTCTGCTGCGACGTCACAAGAACTGCATCATCTCCAGCCAATGTGTGTATATATTACGTGTGAGACACATGTTATATATACATACTGTATGGGAATATGTATGAGAATAGTTCTCTAATAATGATTTAGATGAGTATTCTCATACAGTTCAATTCATCGGTAAGTATTTTTCAAGTAAAGAGAATGAGGCTACTGATTGTAACTATATGGTGAACGTATATTGATGAACATAGTGATTGTATAGTGAACATTGGTAAGTGTCCAGAGATTACTTATATGTTACATTGTGACAGATTTTCCGAGTGGTGACTGGGAGCGAAGAGGAGGATTGTACAGTGAGGAGAGCCAAGAGTTACGTCACAAGGCTGGAGCCGGATAGCTTACCGTCACTATCGTAATGTGACGCCCACACACATCTGGCTCCGACAGTCATGACAGTGACACCATAACACGTCTACTAATGTAAGTACAAACGTTTTTAATTCCTCCTTTTGTTATGAGTCACCATTCCATCATAAGGGCCACCTCATCTAGTATGAGGTCCACCTCATCTAGTATGAGGTCCACCTCATCCAGTTTGAGGTCCACCTCATCCAGTATGAGGTCCACCTCATCCAGTATGAGGTCCACCTCATCCAGTATGAGGTCCACCTCATCCAGTATGAGGTCCACCTCATCCAGTATGAGGTCCACCTCATCCAGTATGAGAGTTATTCCACTCTTACGCCTGTGTTTTGGTCTGATGTATTACCATTAATATTTATTAGAACGTCCCGTATAGTTAGGAAAGGTTCGAATATATTAACTTTCCTCGTGCAGACGATGAGTCACAATAACGTGGCTGAAGTATGTTGACCAGACCACACACTAGAAAGTGAAGGGACGACGACGTTTCGGTCCGTCCTGGACCATTCTCAAGTCGATTTAACTTTCCTTGGTTGGCTTGTCTCGGGATCATCTTGGTATATTCCCGGAGGTGAAGGCAAGAGTAACGTCACAAGACTGACAACATCTCCAGCCAATGTATATACATTACATGCTTGCGAGTGGTATAATGATTAGAAGAATATATATAGTTCAATTAACGTGTGTATTATTTTTTTTTTTAAATAAAAGAATAAGATTACTCAATGTAATATGTTTAATATTGAAAACTTAGTGACTGCATTACATATATTTTATGTAATTACATTTAGATTATATAGATTTATATTAAGACAGACTTTCCAAGTGAAAAGTCAGAGCGAACAGTAGCACTGCAGACTGGTAAGACCCATTTAGCAACCCCATCATCTGTTAATATTTTCCTGTGCATTAAATGTTCTCGTTTTGCTAATCAGTCTCATTTCTTGTCCCTGTACAAGAAATAATAGACTGCACGTGGTACTTAGCGATGTTAATAGAAACAATCACATAGTGATTGGCTCGTCGTCAAGGTTATACCTAACAATACTTCAGTGAGAAAGAGCTGAACAAAAAGGTTTAGTGGGATTACGAGGGATTAGTGGGGGGGGGGAGGATTTCCATGTTAGCGACGGGCGGAGCATAAGAGAACAGGGGTCAGTTTCACGAAGCAGTTACGCAAGCACTTACGAACCTGTACGTCTTTTCTCAATCTTTGGCGGCTTTGTTTACAATTATTAAACAGTTAATGAGCTCCGAAGCACCAGGAGGCTGTTTATAACAATATCAACAGTTAATTGGGAAGTTTTCATGCTTGTAAACTGTTTAATTAATGTAACCAAAGCCGTCAAAGAGTGAGGAAAGATGTACACGTTTGTAAGTACTTGCGTAACAGCTTCGTGAATCTGACCCCAGGTGTGTGACGAGTTGTTTTACCTCATAAATAATGTTCGATCTTTTAAAAGTGTGAGGTGACTCCAAAAGTGTGAGGTGACTCCAAAAGTGTGAGGTGACTCCAAAAGTGTGAGGTGACTCCAAAAGTGTGAGGTGACTCCAAAATGGGCAGCTGAAACTAGCGAGGTGACGGTAGTTGGTGATTGCTTTTTAGTTTTTGTTTTGTTTTTCTTTGCTGTACTCACCTAGTTGTGCTTGAGGGGGTTGAGCTCTGGCTCTTTTGGCCCGCCTCTCAACTGTCAATCAACTTTTTTTTTTCTGTGCCCTGCTGTGGAGGGGAACAGGTGGAGATCGGAGTACCCAAGGCCTCACATGATTATAAATGTCTCCAATAAACCAAGTTAAGACTACTCAATAGTTCAAGGGATTTTGAGTGAGAGTTTCGGCCTCACACACCCTGGGGTCCATGGTTCGAGTCTTCTAGAGACCAGGTGACTGGAATAGATAGCTCCAGTTTGAACCTTTCTTTCCCCCCCCCCCCCTGGTGTCTCGCTGCGCTTAGGCAGGTCAGCAATGGTAGGATGTAAGAGAAACTTCTCTTCTGTAAATATATCCTCTCACCCACCACTTCGAATTTAATTCTTTAGCTGAATTCAGGTGTCAACGTCTTGAAAATATTTCGAGCTATCTCTTACCACTGTGAAAGCGTTCCCGTGTATGTCCACGACATCACCAGCCAGGAGTTCTGCTTCGTCGCCTGCATGTTCTTGCTGTCACCCCTTCTAGTGTGCCCTGTTACCTCTCTTTGTTCCTTGCCACCACCCCCCTCTGTTCTCTGTTAACCCCCCCCCCCCCTCTCTCTGTGTTCTGCTTCCTCCCTCCTCTGTTTCCCCCTCTGTTTCCCCCTCTGTTCCTCCCTCTCTGTCCCCCCTTCTGTCCCCCCCCCCTGTTCTCCCTTCTTAAGTCTTAATCTTTCGTTATCATGATGGAGGTTTGCAATACAAACTTAGACATCAGCTGTTGGACTTAACCTGATTGGTCAGCTTGAGACTTCCGCCAAGGAACACTCTGAGGGTTTCTTGGGGGCTCTTTAATAAACGTCTATAATGTAGATTTTCTATTTGACAACTTTTTTTTTTGGTATTCACATATTTAGTCTATCGTCTGCATAATTATAGATCTGTTCATGCCTTCATTTCTGACTTCTCTATTTTGATGTTTAATCTTATTTGCAGTGAAACGTCTTTGTTCTGCATATATGTACGAAGGGATCTATTGTTGTTTTTATTATTATTATTATTATAAATATTCCCGGTAGCAATATCCATCCTTTTGGGCTTGTTGGTTCAGCGATGGTCTCGCTAATAGCAGGGTCGGCGTTCGAGCCCCGATGGTGCAACTAGTTGAGTATTTTGATATGATGGCGCCTAATTAGGCATATATGTAGACTTGTATATAACAAACGGTATCGGATAGCGAACTACAGTAAATTAAATCTAGAATGGGCAATAGCGGCCATTTTGCAAACCGTCCGCCTTGAACAGATAATGAACCTACTAGTTCCTTGTAGTTCATTTTAATAATTGTCGTCCAAAAATGTGAAAAATTGCGAAAGGTGTCACTAGTGTTGTGTGTTTTGTATTAATTTTTGTGAAAACTAATAGTTTGTGTCAACGACTTTTAAGCAGTTTTTAAAGCTTTTAATGTAATTTTAATATAAGTTATTTGATTTAGAGCATTTTTTTGAGAAATATTGAAATTCCACACAACATATTGAATTATGTTGTTCTTATTGTTAAATTTTTTCACTTGGCTTTAGCCATTTCTTTTTATCGTTGTGTGTATAGCGAAGATGGAAGACCTGGGGAGGGGGGGGGGGACTGAGGAATGAGTGAGAGTCAAATAGATAGTTAACATTCAGGAGAATTAGTTTAAAACAACTTGAGGTGCGATGTACTGGGAATAGCAGATGGGAGAACACCTCCGGCAATCTCCCTCAGTCTCGACTCGTTTCTAGTTGTGCTGTTGCAAACTACTGTTGCACAGACCAGCATACAACACATACGTGAATCATACACATACATACATATTAACGACACATACGTGAATCAAACACGCGCTGGTTAAGAATGAATTGAAGTTGAATATCTCTATATTATGCAGGCGATGAGTCACAATAACGTGGCTGAAGTATGTTGACCAGACCACACACAAGAAGTTGAAGGGACGACAACCCTTCAACTTCTAGTGTGTGGTCTGGTCAACATCTCTATATTAGCCTGTCACTTGATGTCACCGACGATAGCCTGAGTACTGTTAAACCACCACTACAAGGATATAATAATTAGCATTCTACCTCACTGACCCTTATGTGGTGCTTCCTGGAGGCGCGCACATAGCCGGGCTGGTGTTGGGGCGTCGTCAGCTGCTGACGGCGGAGGTCCTGACACGGCCGCAGTTGACACAGACGAGTCTGGTTGATCAGTTGACAGCGGGCGTTGTCGGTCGACCAGCGGACCGAGACGCCGGCGCCGCAGCTCTCTAGTGAACACCGGGACCACTTGCCGGACCCTCGTTCGCACTCTGGGGGACCCACAGCCTTACCTGGGGGAGGGGGGGAGACACTCGGTCACTCACTGATCGGTACTCATCCTGAGGGACCCACAGCCTTACCTGGGGGGGGGGAGACACTCGGTCACTCACTGATCGGTACTCATCCTGGGGGACCCACAGCCTTACCTGGGGGGAGACACTCGGTCACTCACTGATCGGTACTCATCCTGGGGGACCCACAGCCTTACCTGGGGGGGACACACTCGGTCACTCACTGATCGGTACTCATCCTGGGGGATCCTCAGCCTTACCTGGGGACCCACAGCCTTACCTGGGGACCCACAGCCTTACCTGGGGACCCACAGCCTTACCTGGGGACCCACTACCTTACCTGGGGACCCACAGCCTTACCTGGGGACCCACTACCTTACCTGGGGGACCCACAGCCTTACCTGGGGGACCCACAGCCTTACCTGGGGACCCAAAGCCTTACCTGGGGACCCAAAGCCTTACCTGAGGACCCAAAGCCTTACCTGGGGGACCCACTGCCTTACCTGGGGGACCCACAGCCTTACCTGGGGGACCCACTGCCTTTCCTGGGGGACCCACTGCCTTACCTGGGGGACCCACTGCCTTACCTGGGGACCCACAGCCTTACCTGGGGACCCACAGCCTTACCTGGGGGACCCAAAGCCTTACCTGGGGGACCCACAGCCTTACCTGGGGGACCCACTGCCTTACCTGGGGGACCCACTGCCTTACCTGGGGGACCCACTGCCTTACCTGGGGACCCACAGCCTTACCTGGGGACCCACAGCCTTACCTGGGGACCCACAGCCTTACCTGGGGGACCCACTGCCTCACCTGGGGGGATCCTTACTGCTGTTATGACTGTGCTTCTCTCTATGTTGTCCCAAGTGGATTGTTGTGCGCCTCTAACTACCGGCTGTGGATTAAGTCCGGGGTTCTAATTGGTCTGCTGCTGTGAGGTTTCTGTTTTGTACACATACAATAGTGTTATTCAGTGCTGATTTAATTCTACCACAGTTATGGTTTGGCATAGTGCACTGGTTTCTTCTGACACAGTGGCGAATTTTTGTGATGTTTGTGGTGAATAGTGCGCCTTACTAGCTGATGTGGTGTCATTTGACGGCCTCAGTGCTGTGTTGAGTAACTGACTCGCCGCTTCACATGGTTTTATTTAACTCATTATGCATGTTGTGCCTTCCAGACGTGCGTTAGGGTGTTGGGTTCGTCTCTTAGTGCTCTATCGTTCCGCAGTAACAATCAGTAAACAAACTCGGTGCTGGATAACATCTGGCAGTAGTACCAACCTTGGCTTCCCAGCCTTGAGGTCTTTATGGCGCCTGAACGCTCAAACAAGATGCGGTCGCACTGACGATCACATCTACGTTAGAACCACTGCCAAAGTTCTCCTTTTGGTCTCGTCGTTCTCGAAGACATCTAGGGTTTGCTGGTACGCTTGAGAAGTCGTGGTGTAAACTGCGCTCGCGTTAGTGCTGGAGAACCTGTGTTTCAGCTTGGGAAAAGCCGTCTGCAACTTTGCTTAAATATCTGCATTAGTGCTTAGGATTACTGCATCAGCCGTGCTGGTACACAGCCGTGTTTTATTAAAGGCTCTTGTGCTGTTGAATGTATTTTATTGTTGCTGCAAATGAAGTGCGCCTACTTAGTCCAAACAACATTACCGTTCCTATGCCTCGCATATTAAATTGTAATGGTTGTGTACATGATGTTAACCATGTAAACAAATGCTTCAATTAGAACTCAAACAAGTACTCTACATTTGATAGTTTTGGCAAGCAGTGGCTGATAGACTGTGCACTACGTACTCATCCTGTACAGAACAGCCTCGTCCTGTTCACATCATACTCACCCTTTGAACTATATCTCTGAGAAACTACAGAAAATAAAAAATGTATTAGACACCATTTGGTGCCTCTATGCTCGTTCCGCTTTGATGAAAACTTTTTTTTTGCGATGGTTATTTAGTAGTCTGAACATTTTAAATTTAAATACAACAGAGCTGCATTTATCTGTAAGAACGGAGATATTTTTTCCCCTATCAGAATATGATGATACATCTCGTGAAGGATGTGATCTGAACGACGGTGGGTTTCACAGTCTCTGATGGCGAGATGAGACTGTGTATAAACCCCAACAAGTCGTATATGATAGAATTATTTTTTTTCACAACGCTACACACGGAACACCTGAAGACCGAGTGCTGGTCACACTTGGATAAGAGCTACGGTAAATTATTATAGTCATGTCTGGACCAAATCTTTTGGCGAAGGAAATAATTGAGACATATGATCCTGTCTTTGATGCACGTGTGGTGCCCTGAGCCTTTGTAAGCAGCTTGGGCTCGTGCTGGAGACTCGTCTGGGGTATTAAGGTTAAGGATGTGGATAATTATGGTCAGGATGTAACAAAGGGAGTGAGGAAAGGAAGTGGAAGGATGGAGGAAGAGAAAGGATTGACGGAGGAAAAGATAGGATAGAGAAAGGGGTGAAGGACGGAGGGAGTAAGGAAATGAAACATAATTTTGTTGAGAAGTAGAAGGAAGAGACAGGAGCTAACAATAAGGAAAGGAAGGAAGAGATAGAGGAGATAATTAACACAGGAAAACATTCAAAGTTGCGGGGAAAAAGGTAACGATTGAAGAAGTAGGATGAATAAGAGGGAAAAATAACCAAGAATGTTGAAAAGTAAATCAATAGGTTGTGCTGTTCAGCAGCTGATATCGGCTGACACAACACACACTCGCGTGCGCGCGCGCACACTCGCGCTAGTGATCGCAAAATCTTAGCACATGAAAGCTGTGTAGTCGCTCAGCGCTGGAAGGCGCTCCTCGCTGACTGCACCCTTAAGGAACAGTTCGCTGACCACACCAGTAAGGAACACCTCGCTGACTGCACCCTTAAGGAACAGTTCGCTGACCACACTATTAAGGAACACCTAGCTGACCACACCACTAAGGAACACCTCGCTGACCACACCATTAAGGAACACCTCGCTGACCACACCATTAAGGAACACCTCGCTGACCACACCATTAAGGAACACCTAGCTGACCACACCATTAAGGAACACCTCGCTGACCACACCATTAAGGAACACCTCGCTGACCACACCATTAAGGAACACCTCGCTGACCACACCATTAAGGAACACCTAGCTGACCACACCATTAAGGAACACCTAAGCCACAGGTCCAGCCTCATAAAGATATCCCCCCCCCCCCTAGATGCTGAAGATGTTCAAGGCTCTGTTGTGGCCAGCAGGAGGTTTAACCTCTCTATGCTCGACCCTTCGGGAGGCTGAGCCCAGAGCCTCACACGGTTCCACATGAGTGAAAAACAGACTTAATACTGTATCTCAATACACACATTTCTTAGACCTTAATTATTTCCATAATCTAATGAATGTGTTAAAATTATCTACAATTATTTCTCCTTTTAAATTCATGGTGGAAATGGCTTTGATAGGAGTTGCAATTGTTATTTTAACGACACTTTGTAAGCTGTTTATTACATGCAAATGGGTAGAGGTGGTGCATGGGTTTAGTAAAATGTGACGTAGCCATATAGGAGGCGTCTGTAGGGCAGGAGGGGGACGTTGGTTAGCTGTGAACCCCAAACACAGCATCTCCCGGCTGGAGCTTGGAACTCTAGCGTTGCACTACGAAGCTTTCCTCTATGTATACATCCGGCTCGCCTCCACCGCCGGTAGTTCTCACTATGCTGTCGGTGGAGATGGGCTTCGGGCCATGTTCTTCGTTACTACTAAACCATTCTTTCAGTCATTCCAGGAATCAAAACAGTGCTGCTCTATTAACGTGCATGATAACAAGTAAATTATATAACTATGTTAGCTCAAATTAGCATTATTTGCTAGTGAATATATTAAAGAAACAATTTAAATCCAAAAAACTGGTGTTTTACAGTGTGCTTAAGCCTGATCTTCAACAATAGAAACAGACGGTGAGGCTTCTCACAGGGATCTCACACCACCTTCAGAGACTTGATAATGAGGGAACCTCCTCTCGAGCTCTCAACAAGAGATGCCCTTCATACCTCACAGCATGTATGGGAGGAAAGCAGATACCTTTCCCTATGCTTACTGTTCCGTGTTCCCTTAATGCGCTGTGCGTTGGCCTGTTTGGTAGCTCCACTAGTGTGTGGTTATAACAAGACTGCACTTACATACCTATACACTGTTGCTGATAAATTGCTACTGTGAAACTGTGAACACAGTGGCTATTGTTATGAGCGCTAACTAAACATATACATAGGTAAGCCCTTTAGAAACCGGGAATCATCAAATTATACACAAGCGTTTCGCAATTCTCTCATTTGCTAAATAATATATATCCTTGGGTTGGGTCGTTAGATTCGAGTCATTTTAATATCCATTATCGAGCAGCTTGATGCAGGAAGTGACTCGAGTCCTTGCAAACGATTGGTGTTTCCTTGAAGACCACAGTTGAGGGTCGAGAACGACCAGTAACAAGGTGCTCTGTTCTCAGGTTGTTTGACTCACAGCGAAAGGCTGTTAACTTTTGTATTATAAAGTTCCAGCAAACATTTTCGGATCCATATCCTTGAAAAATACAGATATGAGTAGAATTATGAATAGAATTATGAATAGAATAAGGAGAATTAAAGAAATTAGTGGATTGAGAAATAGAAAGGCATGAAGAGAGGGGGATGAAAATGGGAGACGCGGTGAACAGAGAGGAATAATGAAAAATAAAATAAAATAATGAGGGTAGGGGGAAGTGAACACGGTGAGTGGAGTACACGAGAATGAGAGAAACAGACGTCTAAATTACAATATTTAGAACTTATTTTAACTCTCGTTAATATAAATTAATAAATGCTAATACTTTTTTCCAGCTTGGCATTAATTACTAATATATGTTTAAAGAAAAAAATACGTGTTTTTTTTGCATAGCAATTATACATTTTAATGTATATTTTATTGCTGTTTTACTGATTAAAATATTGTATTTAGTTTTATATTAA